ACATACACCCACACACACACACACACACACACACACACACACACACACACACCCACCCACCTACACACACACACACACACACACACACCCACACCCACACCGCCACCCAACCACCCACCCACCAAGACATACACACCCTCCACAGATATCATACAATGATTGGGGACTAAACTTGACAATACACCGCTGCAACTTAATGCCTCCTGTTGTACAATAGTAAACAGCATCATTATATAACTTCAATGGCAAAAAGCACGCCAACTGAAATGTTTTTTTACAATAAGTGACATAAGGATAAAGAAAAGGTCTCGTAGCTCCACTGCATATGAAAGGAAGGGGTGTGCAATTTCAAAGTAGGCCTACTCATGAAAGAAGTTACCTCTAAAATTAGCTCAAAAACTGTGGAAGAAACTTTAAAAACTTCATAGCAACATCTCGGTTTTCTTCCTCTTAGGGGGCGTTCAGATGAACCTGTCGTACTAGCTGGGTCGATCCAACTCTGCAGAGATTCTCGTTTAAGTGCAGTCAAAGTAAGCAGCTTAATTGTCTGGCTTTAGCGAGAATCCCCGCGGAGTTGGATCGATCCAGCTAGTACCATGGGTTCATCTGAACGCAGGACTAGGGCTCATTCCTCATGAAACTATCGGTCTAAGTAGATCGATCCAACTCCGTTGGGACTCTGGCTGAATGCAATCAGATTAACAGATAAACGTGTCTTCTCTTGTTTCCAACGTATTTGTATAATCACCAGCTTTTCTGTATTTTGCTCAACGCTAGGAAGAGGCGTATTAATCTCTCAATCTGATTGCATTCAGCGAGAGTCCCTGCGGAGTTGGATCGATCTAAATAGACCAAAAGTGTCATTGGGAATGGGCCCTTAGTTCGCTTCCCAAGCTTTTAACCCAGCTGTACTACCGTGGCAGTTTTGATATTAACCTCGTGTTAGTTGATACACTCACAAATCACGGAGCTCTCTATACTATTGCGTTAAGACGTAGTTTGTCCGGTGAAGCAATTAGGGTAAATAAAGCTGTATCATAAGTGACACGGATTGAGAAGTGATTTACCTAGATACACACAGTTTAAAATTAGCACGGCTGCGTGGAAGTTAATCAAGAGGGTTAGAGATATTGGAACTTGAAACCTAAGGGTTTGTTTATTTGGTAAACATGTTCAATTAGTTGATGGCTACGTACATTAGGATACAGTTATCAAATATTAGAATAAACAGTTAATCAAGTAAAAGTAAAAACAATACACAAACAGTAATAAAATATAAATAAGGGTGAAACCTAACGCCCCCTGCAACTACAGAGACGATCAGATATAATAAGCAGTATTATCGGCCTCCTATGTTTGCACCACAAAATTTCACTACGACACGGTTCCGCGATTTGAATAGTTTTTACAGAAGCATAAATGTCGGGCAATGAGTTAAACACACACGCACTCGTACGTATCAAATCATACAGGAAGGGTGAAAATATCATCCCATGGAAATTATTTTTGACCGTGAAATCTAAATAAGTGCACATAATTGCGCAGCATATATAAAATTAACAAAGGAAATGCAAGGGATCGATCTCGCGCCAAACATGGTAATATTCAATTATAAATGTAACTTCGTTATCAGGCGTAATTCCCTTAACTAAACTCTTCAACTGCATTACATAACACGGCCCTCCTCTCAAAGTGAACATAATTGACCGACTGGCCATAGAAAACCAATTAAGGCCAGCAGGCGTCGAGATTTGATAAAACATCATCTACAACTACATGAGAATTAAGGTAGATTATTGAGGACCGTCGATAATGATGAAGAATCGATATCAATCAGGTCGCACTACATTTGGCAGATCGGGAGAGAATGAGCGAGGGGAAGGGGTGGTGGAAGAAGCTTTTGCCACACCTTTTCTAGATTCTCTAGTTAATACGTTCATAAATTTTTGTGCACCAATTCTTCCTGTAGTAACCCATAGTAGGGTGGGGTTTATTTTTAAACGTGTGACGTAAATAAAATAATGATAATAATAATTATTATTATTACTATTATAATTATATAGTTGGCTTGTCTTCCTCGTGTTACAGTTTAGGTTTTAACTATATAGTAAATCCAGGGTGAAGAAATATTAGAAATCTACCAATTTCCAAGGGAGTAACCTCTCCCTGTGAGTTCCTGAGAAAGGCCGCGCCTGTAGTCTTAGGCTTCGTTCACATGCAATGTCTATTTTCTAATTTCTATTTTCTATTTGCGGTATGTCTTATGATCACGGTCTGTGGCCTGAATATCCGGGGCGTAATTACTGGCAGCGCGAGCCAGTTACTATAAGTTAAGTATAAGACTACAGGCGCGGCCTTTCTCAGGAACTCACAGGGAGAGGTTACTTTCTCGAACGAAGCCTTAATGGGAGGAGTGATCCAACGAATCCAATCATGTTCAATTTTCTACTAAACTTGCATCGGGGCCAAGCAAATTAGAAATATCCACAGTTAGATGTATCAGATTTCTCCACAATGTCCTCTAACAAGACAAAAGTCTGGTGCAGGTGATCCGAGAGGTAAGGACACTCCGCGCACGCACACAGCTGCAGATAAGGCATTAACAGATGACCTTCAGGGTGATAGTGGCGGATCGCCCCCCCTCCCCCCCCTACACACACACATACACCCTTTTTGATACTCAGGGACTGGTCACAAAATCGTTCACGTTTTTATCAGATTACGACATCCTATTTAGCATGTTGCCCTGGCAACATCTGAATCTTTAACATATTGTCACATCTATGCAGTAAATTTATTGTCGAGCTTTATTTCGCTTCGCTTCTGAATTTAGGCAATGAGTTAAAACGGGACGCATTAAAAAGCGATGTATGCAAGTATTGAAGGAAATTTATGGCAACGCTTAAAGTAATTTATTGTTAGCTGGGAGTAACACAGGTGGCAGTTTAGCAGGGAAGTTTAACTTCTCTGAGTCCCGAATTTTCGTTGTTAAAACCACCTACACTGTGGACTTCTGGTCAACTTGCTTCCTGGGTGGAATTTGGTAAATTTGTCTCCGCGCTGGTGATGCTTTTCTACAGGGTAAATACGCACACAGTCTGGTGACGCTTTAATTTAACGTGGAAGTTATATATCTGTTCAGAGAGAGAACAGAGCTAGACTTCATTACATAACCGCTGTTCAGATGACATAATGGACATAATGCTTCTCAAGCCTCTTCAGGTGAAACGGAGATCTGGGAAGATTGACCTTGATTAAATAGCGCGGACACATCTGTATTCAAAGACACGTAATAGAAAACGAGTTTGACTGCTACGTATACTGTTGTTCTGAAAGGACCGCCCGCTGTCATGATTCATCCAGTTTAATACCAGGCAGGACGCTCTGCACTTCTGTGTGAAGGGACCATACAATATCGATGATCCACGCGGGGACAAACAGCTCTTTGGACTATTTTTAAGTACTTAAAAGTGCTTTTTAGAGAGTAACATTGAAGTATTCTCATCCATTAAGCATAAGAAGGGAGTTGACCCTCATCTTTATTGTATTGAAACTTTACGTTGGTGTATATACTTCTACCTGGACTTGGATAACCACAGGTGCTTACACATATCAGGATTTTTGCCCCTTACAGGAATTGCGCAGTATTGTATTTTAAGTTGGCTCACTGTCATCAACACGCACATTCCCACTGTCGAGTGGGGCGCTTGACTTGTCAACTTTTGCCGCCTACTTAACGTGGTCCTTTAAGGGAGAAAATAACGTAGGATTATCACAGGGGTGACATGTATTTGGGCCGCTGCGAGGCGTTTGTTTTGGCGTTAGTTACAATCAGTCAGTTGTTCCTACGCGATGGCGTGACGGCAAGTCTGGAGACCACGCTTCTCGAGACCTCCACCTCTGTCCCGGGACGTGTCGTATTAGAAGACATTATTTCCAAACATCAGCCAAACGCCACCGCCACGAACTCATCGAGGTCGTCTCCACCCTACGGCATCGTGTCAGGAAAATCGGGAAACATAACGACACCTGTGTTTTGCCTGGAGTGTTTAACGTGTCACTCGGGGGTGGGCAAACACAGCCGGTGCACCGCAGATGGAGAAGCCCCGTTATTGCAGCCGGAACAAGGGCTGACGGTGATACCGTTTCTGGCCGTGGCTGCTTTCTTCGTGGCCTTCATCTTGAAATGCGCGGACTGGGTTCGCGAGGATGTGTATTACACGGATTTTGAAGAAGAAAACGAGTATCAGACCACGGTGGCTCACGGGTTGTACAGCATCAAGCCAGACTTGTCTAGCATGGTTGCCTGGGTGAAACAATGGGCGCCGAGCAAACCGCCGGATGACAGCACTATTGGGAAGGAAACCATGGAAACGCAACCTAGCGACGAGAATGGGAATCAGACTCCGTTTAAACAAGGTGGCAGGGAACAACCGGAGGCGGAAGTGCAACTGTTGTCGTCTGCTCGAGAAAAATTTAAAAAACCTGTAGGGGTTACTTTTTGTCACGTTGCTGAAATCAATTTTGACTTCTCGCCTGGATACAGAGAGAAAATTCTGACGCAGGAGACGCCGTCAACCGACATCGACCTTACTGTTGTCCCAAAAACCACAAGTTGACAGGCATTAACCTATTACCTGGACACGTTGACTGAACTATCTCAATACGTGGGTGACATTGCACGTGGATGATACACCGCATAATGGATGCAAACCCGCTGTAAGGCCACGCAGACTTCAGCTTCAGGCACAACAAGAACGGCACTGTTTAGACTGTAACGTTAAATATGTTGCCGTCGGCTGAAATGGAATGTTATCAGTCAAACATGTATATTTACCTCCGCCAAGGAGGTTATGTTTTCACCCCTGTTAGTCTGTCTGTTTGTTTGTCATCAACATAACTCAAAAAGTTATGGACCGATTTTGATGAAATTTTCAGGAACTGTCGGAAGTGGGCCAAGGAAGAGATGATTAGTTTTTGGTGGTGATCAGGATCAATAATCAATCAATGAACAATAATATACAAAAATCGCTGCCTTGGCGGAGGTCTGCGCTCTCGGAGTGCTTTTCTAGTATGATATATAACGGACCACGGATTTAAACAACTGGGTAAGCTTGTGTGCTGCTAAGGTCAATGTTGTACTCCATCACCTTGGACTGACGAAAGAAGAGTATTGGACTCATTTATGCCACGCATTCAACCCGCGAAAGAACGGGTGTATTAGGATATGGATTATAAGACGTGAATAAATATTCCTTTCTGCTTATAAAACAATGCTACTTAACTAGTCATATAAGGACTTTCCCAGGCTTCGGCTCTGTGTGGACGGTTTTAAGATTTCTGACAAAACGAACAAGGTTCTCATATTCTATAGCTAAAACTTGTTAAATTTATTACATATTTTCATATGAAAGTAAATGCTTTTTTCACAGAAAAAAACAAACAAACAAACAAAAAAGCTTTTGCAAAGTCAGACAAGCAGTGACATCACTGTGTCAGACTATTCAGCATTGTGCTTTTTTGGCTTATCACCAGAAGTTAAGATATTGACTGTATTTTCAGTAGGTCAGTGATTAGTAATAAAACTTACTGTCTTTTAGTTATCCTCTTTAAAATTACTTTCTAAAATCTTCTAAAATGTATTAGTTGTAAGTTTATACACCATGGACATCACTAAGGTGCACATGTTACCTTTTGGTAAGAAAAAAAAATACTGCAAATATACTGGACACTTTGTCCAATATATTCCACCATTTTCACCATATGTCTTTAACAACCATATTTCAACCACATTTCCCATGACAATGGCAATCCTGCCCCTGTCACGAAGGACGTCATATCATTGTTTTCGTGGAGCACAATAGGTCACTCCTTGGCACAATAAGTGACTCCTTGGCACAAGAGGTCACTCCAAGTCACAAAAGGTCACTCCTTAGCACAAGAGGTCACTCCAAGTCACAATAGGTCACTACTTGGCACAATAAGTCACTCCTTGGCACAATAGGTCACACCAGTGCACAATGGGTCAAACCAGGGCACAATAGGTCGCACCAGGGCACAATAGGTCACACCAGGGCACAATAGGTCACACCAGGAAGAGACACCAGTATTCCTTCAGTATGTTATGTCCAGTGGTGTGACATGTGACCAGATGTTGTGTCATATTATCTGTGGAGTCTTTGTTTTAAGTATGTCTATCATTTATGGAGTCTGTTTAAAGAATGTTCTGAGTTGTGACATTATAAATGCTATGTCTTATCATCTGTAGGGTCTTTGTTTCTCATTTTTTCCAGCTCCTGTACCCACTCTTGTATTGTCTGGTGTTTGAATTTGCCTGGAAATTGTAAATAAAATATACTAATCTGGCAAAAAGTGACAAAATACATTTCACAACTTTGTATTAACTTGTTTTAACTTGTATTAACTTGTTTCTAAAATTTAAATCACAGGCAAAGCAGCACGCAAGGTTCCCCTAGGTATACAACAGAAACACACTTTCATAACATGTAACTCTTCAAAGGAATGTGTCTGCTGCAGTTTTAAAACCAAGCGAAATTTAAAAAAAAATTAAAAATAACAAGGCAGCAAAGCTGTCAAATGTACAGACAAAGAACAGAAAATAAAGATGCAAATAAGTGAAAAATTAAATTTTCACAAAAAACTGTTAAGTTGCCAGAAAAATTTACCAAACAGACTGCGTTGCCTATTGAAGTTGTATGTTAGACCCATGTTTCTTTCCTGTAAGTCTGAGAACAGTAAGTGACATGATTTCCCTTAAATGGTCATCATAGGAGCAGTGCCCNTATATATATATATATATATATATATATATATATATATATATTTGGTGATATAGACTAAAGATAAGGTGGAGGATGAGTCCCTGTGAAAAATCCATTTCCAGGACATGTTCGGCAAAAAATACCTGCACCCCCTTCCCCGCATCCCACTTGCACCCCCCCCCCTCAAACACACACACACACACACACACACACACACACACACACACACACCAAGACATACACACCCTCCACAGATATCATACAATGAGCACTAAACTTGACAATGCACCGCTGCAACTTAATGTCCCCTACTGATACCTTGGTAAACAGCATCATTATATAACTTCAATAGCAAGAAAGCACGCCAACAGAAATGTTTTTTTACATAAGAGACATAAGGATAAAGAAAAGGTCTCGTAGCTCCACTGCAAATGAAAGAGAAGGTGAGTGCAATTTCAAAGTAGGCCTACTCATGAAAGAAGATACCTATTAAATTAGCTCAAGAACCGTGGAAGAATTTTTTTTAACTTCGAAGCAACATCTCGGTTTTCTTCCTGCTTGGGAGCGTTAAGATAAAGTTGTCGTTCTAGCTGGACCGATCCAACTCTGCAGAATTTCTCGTTTAAGTGCAGTCAAAGTAATCAGCTTAATTATCCGGCTTTAGCGAGAATCCCCGCGGAGTTGGATCGATCCCGCTAGTACCATGGGTTCATCTGAACGCAGGACTAGGGCTCATTCCTCATGAAACTATCGGTCTAAGTAGATCGATCCAACTCCGTGGGGACTCTCGCTGAATGCAATCAGATTAACAGATTAATGTGTCGTCAACGCGCTCGTACATGTATAATCGTCATAATCGTCAGCTTTTCTGTATTCTACTTAACGCCAGGAAGAGACGTATTAATCTCTCAATCTGATTGCATTCAGCGAGAGTTCCTGTGGAGTGGGATCGATCTAAGTGGACCAATAGTGTCAATGGGAATGGGCCCTTAGTTCCCTCCTAGAGCTGATAACCCAGCTGTACTACCGTGTCATTCTTGATATTAACCTCGTGTTAGTCGATACACTCACAAATCACGGAGCTCTCTTTACTCTTGCGTTAAGACGTAGTTTGTCCGGTGAAGCAATTAGGGTAAATAAAGCTGTATCATAAGTGACACGGGTTGAGAAATGATTTACCTAGATACACACAGTTTAAAATTAGCACGGCTGCGTGGAAGTTAATCAAGAGGGTTAGAGATATTGGAACTTGAAACCTAAGGGTTTGTTTATATGGTAAACATGTTCAATTAGTTGATGGCTACGTACATTAGGATACAGTTATCAAATATTAGAATAAACAGTTAATCAAGTAAAAGTAAAAACAATACACAAACAGTAATAAAATATAAATAAGGGTGAAACCTAACGCCCCCTGCAACTACAGAGACGATCAGATAAAATAAGCAGTATTATCGGCCTCCTGTTTGCACCACAAAATTTCACTACGACACGGTTCCGCGATTTGAATAGTTTTTACAGAAGCATAAATGTCGGGCAATGAGTTAAACACACACGCACTCGTACGTATCAAATCATACAGGAAGGGTGAAAATATCATCCCATGGAAATTATTTTTGACCGTGAAATCTAAATAAGTGCACATAATTGCGCAGCATATATAAAATTAACAAAGGAAATGCACGGGATCGATCTCGCGCCAAACATGGTAATATTCAATTATAAATGTAACTTCGTTATCAAGGCGTAATTCCCTGAACTTAACTCTTCAACTGCATTACATAACACGGCCCTCCTCTCAAAGTGAACATAATTGACCGACTGGCCATAGAAAACCAATTAAGGCCAGCACGCGTCGAGATTTGATATAACATCATCTACAACTACATGAGAATTAAGGTAGATTATTGAGGACCATCGATAATGATGAGGAATCGATATCAATCAGGTCCCACTACATTTGGCAGATCGGGAGAGAATGAGAGAGGGGAAGGGGTGGAGGAAGAAGCTTTTGCCACACCTTCTCTAGCTTCTCTAGTTAATACGTTAATGCATTTTGTGCACCAATTCTTGCATAAGTTGGCTCGTCTTTCTTCTGTTACAGTTAAGGTTGTAACTATATAGTAGTTCAAAGTGACGAAATATTAGAGTTCTACCATTCCCAAGGGAGTAACCTCTCCCTGTGAGTTCCTGAGAAAAGCCATGTCTGTTGCCTGGATGGGAGTAGAGATCCAACAAATCCAATCATGTTCAATTTTCTACTAAACTTGCATCGGGGCCCAATCAAGTTAGAAATATTCACAGTGAGATGTATTAGATTCCTCTACTATTGTCCTCTAACAAGACAAACGTCTGGTGCACGTGATCCATGAGGTAGGGACACTGTGCGCACGCACACAGCTGCAGATGAGGCATTAACAGATGACCTTCAGGGTGATAATGGCGGACCCCCCCCCCCCCC